TCTTAGTCAACTCGAAAGGTTATCGTATTGGCCTTTGTTTCCAAAAAAAAAAAGATTTCTTGACATATAATGAATGATATATTATAACACATTGATTTGATGTTTAGTAGGCAAGTACCTAACAACTCTGAACGCAAAAAATGTCTTAAGCAACGATTTTTGAGTGGCTAGTTTTTCAAATTCTGATTTGCAAAGATGATGAAACTGCAACGAAACATTGTCTATGGTTTTTGATAATTTATATCTGGTTATTACCACAATCTTGGAGAGACCTCTGAAGAGCATTTGTTTGCAAATGACAGGGGTTTTCAGGAACGACGATGCAACTCATGCGTTCTCCTCCGCTGCAGCCATGATAGATCCAAGTAATTCACCACCAATGAACACTGCTTGCAATATGTTCAAAACTTGGGCACATCATCTTGATAATCTCTTCCATAGCGAAGTGTAAGTTTGTTTTGGTGCTTTTCAAACATAATAGGAAGTGTACTACTTTAGGCATGAAGCTTCCGCGTTGTCTCGAGGGTCACCAGCGATTGACAGCTATTTCGAAGCAGCTAGGATTGAAAATGAAACGAGAGCAAGGAAGTACATAGCCAGGTGAATTTTCTTGGTCATCTGTGGTTCATTTTTGACGCGCGCACTTGAATATTTGGAAGAAGTGATATTGCTATGAATGTGTTTATTCTGGTGTAACCCATCTGCTTCTTCAATTTCTAAACATTTTTTTCATTCTTTTAGTATCCGGAATCTGTGAATTTATTGAATCTCTATATTCTAGAATTTTATGGACAGCAAAGCATGTGGTTGCATGTGGTATATTCGCCGCTACCGGTTTGGACCAAGTGCTGAAAGACAGAGCCAGATCCATCGTTCCTTTCAATTGGCTACCTTGGTATGCAGTTGATGTTTTAGTTCTCTGAATTCTGCTGATTTTTTTAGGTTACCACAACTCGTGACTGAACTCCAAGAGAGGCCCACATCGGGTTTCATCCACATAATGGAACGCATTGCTTCTGCGTATCCGCTTTTAGTCGTTTCGGCATTGCGTCCTGTCCTTGATGCAGCAATTTTTGGGAAAATCATCGAATGTGGTTGGTTTCAATTCTTACTCTACCAAAGCTTTCTCGTCTTATCCAAACGCTTATTGTAGTATCAAAGAAACAGCCCATCCCAGCATTGCCAGATGATCATAAAAACGCTGCTTTGTGTAAGATTCTGGAGAAAGCATGCATATCTCGACTGACTGATGTTCGAGTAAGTTTTTGCGCTTATTCTTGCATAGGGTTAAAAATGCTCAAATAGCAATACAATCGCTTAGATGTGGGACAAGCTTTTGACTGGTTTCTCCGAAATGCGAGAATTCTGGGCAGAAAAACATCTGCGTTACGCTTCTCAGCTGAAGGATGAAATTCTCAGGTAAAAGTTATTGGGCTTCAGTTTAGCGGAATTCTTGACACTACAAATTTGCATGACATAAACTAAGATTGACCGTGATTCTTCCATAAAATCATAATATTTTTGGAGAGAAATAACGTATAGAAATCGAAGAAGTAAAGAAAGAAAAAGTTAGACATTCGACTAGACTGCTGCCTTTTTCCAGATGCTTGTATGAGGCGCGAGAAACTCGTCTGGAAACAGCAAGGCTTGATGACAAAGCTATGGCAACGATGTCGTTATGGTGTGCTAAACTCAAGGAAAACGTGGGTGAAGATATCCTGCGTGAAAATGAAGTTCCGTCATCTTCTCGACATGCTTTACCGCTGCAGACTGAAGACCAGGTAGAAAAATTTACCAAGTACCATTCTGTGTAAACAGCTCGCTATGCTAGCGACTTCTGGGTTTTTTTGAGAATAGACCTTTGTATTCATTCCAGTTCATCGACGAAATTCGCAATGAAGTCCTGGAAGTTCTCAATGCACCTACTGCATTTGGTCCAGCATTGCTGAAACTTGCTGAGACCGTCATCAAATGGCAAACAAAGCTGCACAATCGCCTATACTCTTTGCCAAGGTTTTTTCTTCCCGATGATTCTAAGTGGTGACTGCATAAGTTTTTTAGACGATATCCCATTCGACTATCCAGCAAGTTCCTTGCTGACTACAGTAGTGCAATGGCATGCATAGAAATACCATCGTCATTCAACGCGAATGTCACGAAAGTATGGGCAGATTTTGATTAACTAGTTAGTTACGAACTTATGAATGGGGAATTTGCAGCAGTACCAATATGTGACATTGATAGCAAGATTCAATCCTCATGTCGAAGTTGTAGTGAAGAGTGGACGTGTCATGAAGAAGCTGCAAATAATGGCTGTCAATGGAAAGGTGCAGCTTGATTCATGTTCTTTGCATGGTTTATCAGCGAGTTGCCCACAGTCTTCAAAAAAGTTTTAGCCATATCATGTTTCAAATTGATTTCAGACAAGCGTTTACTATCTCCAACGCTCTATTTTCAAGGAGAAAACCAATCGCTGTCAGCAATACCTACAATTAGTGAAAACCTTGTTGGTCAAAGAGCGGGTAAGGCTTCACCATTTTTGTCGTTTATGTAGCTGCATAAACTCGCGCAGTGACTGGATTGTACGATGATCCGAGTCTCAGCAAATTTCGAAAAATTGTACATTTACACAATTTAATTGAATGTTTAGGAATTTGCATTGTTCCTGGAAAGATGCATGCATTTTCGGCCGACCCAAGATATCGAAAAATGTAGTCATTCTAGGAAACTGCTCGGCGTCATCTGTTTGTTTTTACGCCGAATCAACTAGTTGTCTCTCCACATGCTGTACTGATGGATGTTGGAGGTAAGTTTCATATTTTTTTTGCAGAACATGATCAGCAAAGGTTTTCAAAATGGTGGAAATAGCAGTCCTACTAAACGAGTGGATGTGGTATATCTTCGAGGAAAAAATCACGTGAACACTACCTAGGAGTTTCATTTTTTTCCCCAAATTCCTCTTACATAACTTCTTTAG